ATAAATAATTTTCCAATCAAGAATTAAATTTATTTGTTTTTTTCTAAAAATCGCTTTATTATGATAATACAAAGAATAATAACAAAAATTTCAAAATAAATAATTATTTTTTCAGCGAGCATCTCTAAACTATTTTTTTCCTGAAAAGTTATTTCTCAAGAGTACGAATTTTTTTCTAGGCAGATTTTTTTTCTTTCAACGCATTGTAAATACGATGCATGATTTTTTTAACACAAAAAATTTCTATGTTTCCCTTTTTATTTTACTACATAAAAAAGAACAATATGATATCTGAGTTTAAAAAACATTTAGAATATATATAGATGTAAAACAAAAAATTTTTTCCCAATTTTTTACAACTGATTTAACCCACAATTTATACGACGATTAGTGAAAAACAGCAATTTACACGCAGGGTTAATCGCACAAAAGTGTACGTAAGAAATAGTTTATTTATTTTTTTAAGAAATTTGTATTCTCAAATTAATGATTTTTTACGAAAATAAAATAATATTTGACTAATTGTAAATTACTAATTATAAATTGACTAACTATAAATTATATAAATTTTTACGATATTTCTATTTTACAAAATATTCTTTTACCATTGTGCGGTACAGACGCGCATAAAATTGATCTATTTCACTTACCTAATTTCACATTCGGTATGTGATTATATTTGTTTAAAGTTTGCACGACATGCAATATCGTTAAAATTTGTTGAAGACCTTTGCTTGACGATACATTGCAATGCTGTCCATAATTCGCGTCCACAAAGACTGTCAAATGTCAAAAATTAGAAAAAGAAAACATAACAGTTTTTCTTAATTTCTCTTATTGGTAATTATATCGAATAGGGGACCCTCTTCCATAATTTTGATTTTGAGATATAAAATTGTCATGACCCTGAGAAACTCCAATAGGTTTTAGTCATCGTTCGTCCTTCACTAGAAAGTTATTGACAAAAGAAGTTTGGAAAATGATATGTCTCTTTTCTATTATATAAAATAAAAATTTTCTGCTTTGAAATATATTTTACAACTGTCCATGTGAAGCTTGAACTTTTGAAGTCCTGTTGGAGATCACTCAGGGTCACGACTTTGAAAATCGCTTCGCACGGAAATCGTTCGTCACTTAGCAGGGGGGGAGGTGGGGTGAAAATCTTTTGCGTGGAAAGTTGTATTTCTTGAATTTGTCCACCTTATAGCTCTCTCTCTCTCTCTCTCTCTCTCTCTCTCTCTCTCTGTCTAAATTTAAGGTATCTGACTCTTCATGTAATACGGGGAAATAATTGCTAATTTTGACTGTTAATTTTTTACCGAATAACGAGCGATGGCTAAAATTTATTAAAGGTTACTCAGAGTCATGTCTTTGACATGATATATCAAGGTCAAGGTCTTGGAAGGAAGGATCTCCTATTCGGTATAATTATTCTCATATTGATTAAATTAAAAAAGTATTTGAGAGATAGAGAAAAAAATTCTTGTAGAGGAGACCGGGGCAAGTTATCACACGGGGTAAGTTACAGTTAGTTTTTTAGTTGCCACAGGTGGCAGCACGTTTTTATGAATTTTTATGTAATTTTTATGATATTCTACAACTTTACTAATATTTGAAGAAGAAACTGTAGAATTAGAAGACTCTAGAAGACGCTACGTATGTTTTCTTGATTTTCAGTAAGTAAATATTTTATTGTATAAATCGCTTGTGTTATTTTTATATATAAATTAGAGGTGATTATTCTTTTGTATATTTCTTTTATATATATTTATATATATTTGATTATAATAACACTTTTTATTTGAATTGATATATGTATTGGTTTTCGAATTAAAAATGGAAGATTGGAGTAAGTTGTTACACTTTGATAGGGCAGGTTACAATATAACAACTTATCCTACTAAAAACAATTTTTTTTCTACAAAATGATGCATAGACTTCTATAAATAGACTACCGACTTTGTCTCTGTTTGAAGACAGCGCTGGGTAGGACCACATTTGTGTTCATTCACTCTTAAATGTATAAATCACACGGATAATAACGTTAGTGTTTTTATATAAATTTATGCGATATTCACAGACAGGACATATATGTGAACTAAAACAAGAACAGTTCGGAATCAGGTTCATCTCTTTCTATCATATTGAATCAGCATCTTTCTATTATATTGATACAGCAATCTAGTTATAAAAGTCTGCAGAATGATGCGATCTTACAAAAAAAAGACAGAGGATCTGTAAATGTAGAAATATATGCGACAGCGAAAGGAAGTTAAAAATGGCTACCTGTCTGTGAGAAAAGCAGCAAATGCATGTAATTAATGTAATGTTAATTTTATTACTTTTCAACATTAACTTTAATAATTAATAAAAAAAAAAAATTGTGTAATAATATATTTTTTAAATTTTATATCATAAAATAAATATTTCTTGTTTAATTAAATTTATTTAATACTTTTCAAGGATTTCGTGTTTAATTTAATTTATTTATTAAAATTAAATTATTAAAATATTTAGAGACATAGATACAAAAAAATTACTAGTTAAAGATGAACTTGAAGCAATGCATAGGTATTCATTAATTTATACATTAGAATTGAAAAAATTGCTAATCAAAAATTGTAACAACTTGCTTCGGTCTCCTCTACTTATATGTTTTTTTATTATACTCTAGATTTATAAAATAGATTTATAAATTTATAAAAAAAGTAATGTGTTAATATATATTTGTTAAGAGATAATGTATCGCATTTAATACAGTTATATTTACAATTTTTTACTGCTTTAAATTAAATACAGTGCAAACTAATTTCCTCATAAATATAAATTATACGTAAAGAAATTTTTAGATTCAAATCTAATTGATTAAAGTGTTATTAAATTAACGGCTTACCAGTTAAAATAGCATCACCTGTGGTCTCCAATAATGTATTATTTTCACAGCACAGTATTTGCTCGCTCGTGCTCAAAATTAACAGAATACTTAGCAAGAACGGAGCCTTAATGAGCATATCATTCGCCATCATTTAATTTGTCATCAAGGCATAAATTACGCGCATGCGTACTTTGGCAGATAAAATCTGTACTCTGATCACTAATAGCTTTATATTAATTTTGTAAGATTTTCCTAGAAGAGTCATATTTTTATTATTTATTTATTTTACAATAAAATAACATTAAAATCAAAAAAGGATGATAAGGAAGATAATTTAGCAACAAATTAATGATTACATAATTCTTTGCTGCTATTTTATATTTATTTTATATTATTTTATACTGTTATATTTTGCGTTATTTTTACATTTGTATTATTATTATTAGAGGTTTCTATCACTTCGATTAGCCATAAGAATCAGCAATTGTGATTTTAAGTGACACTATGTAGTTTGTAAAGAATCGTTTAGCACGAAAGGCATTTTTCATGAAAGTTCTGTCCGTTTTCTTGAGCGTTAATTTCGATGGCATTTATTAAGTCGCGTGACAAGCGCCACTTCGGCGTTTAACAATCAGTACGAAACACGCACGTCCCGCTTTACCTTCGCTGTTCCAATTTTTGTGATTACCGGCGGACGTCAGAGCCTATTTTACGCTTGGCTGATGGACCTAAAGCTTCAGAACCTTAACTTTGATATTGATCTTCTCTCTTGAATAATCTTGTTACTCGGAAAAATTCTACTCTCCGCGGATATAATTTCCGTCGAGATGCACATGACTGACTGCTCTTTGAAGAAGAGCTGACGACGTCGTTGACGAATTTTCACCCCTCTGGAAGTTTTGCCACTTTGAACGTATTCGTCCCCAAGCGCTTGATAAATTATTCTGAGTGGTTTTGTCGTTTCGAAAAATTCTCTCCGGAACGATAGTGAGCCCCAGATTCTCCAGGCGTAATCGTCGCGAGAATCACTACGTGCTTTCTCATTCCGTGTGGAGTCGCCGTGACACTACACGACATTCGATGCTATCTATGGAAGCCGTACTCTTGTCAGGCTAGCACTATGTTTTTTTAAATGGATTATATGATCAGTCACGTTGTTGCTAGGCGTGATACGTAATTGACAGTTGACTTTTTCTTTTTGAATGCTGTTGAGTAAAAAGATTTAAGTAGAATTTGAATAGAATTTGCACGGAAAGGACAGTTTTGCTCAAGAATTTAGCTAGATACAGAATTGAACATAATTTTATTGGACTAATTATATAGAACGCTGATTGCTAGAACGATTATACATTTTTTGTCTTAATACTTGAGATTCCTACGTAATTATTTTTATAATCCAACAAAATTATTTTCAAATCTATATTTAATTAAATTTTTAGATAATTGAACAAAATTATTTTTTCCGTGTGATCAATGTACTATACATTAGGCTTTGTCTCATTAAATTTTACAATTTTATTACACTCCAAAATTAAGAATACAATTACCTTCGATATTTTCTTTATATGTTATAATCATCATTATTATACACACGAAATACATGCTATAAAACGTCGTTTTGTTCTACGTGGCTTTGTAAATATTTAAAAAAACGGCATTTGATGTTAATTTTATTGGAGTCAAAACGATAGTTTAATCACCCTCCGACCTGTTAAGTTGTTTCTTCGTTGAGAAAAAGGCTGAGAATCGGTATAAAGGCGCAGTTAACTTAATTTTCACAAGTCCGTTTTACGACGCCGCATCTTCGTGTGATTACGAATTTAATTTGTCTAAAACATAGGACGAATGTTACGACGACTGTTATGTGATTTTATATCTCTCGTGATATTTTGCTTTCTGCCAAAAAGATTGGCATAAAGAATAATAAAAAATATCTTTATAAAAATTTTCTCATTTGAACCTTTCTATGTCGACTTTAAAATACTAAATGTATATTTTGTGCTCTTTCCTTTTTTTTCATACACAAATATTGGCTGCTTTATAGACGTGACGTGAAAAAAGTTTGAAAGTTATAACTTTTTATTATAAGCAAGATATAATACTTGTGATATTTCGTGAAAAATTGTATATTTTATATTGATACATTCGATATAATAAAATATGAAATATCTCTTAAAATATTCACGTTTTGATAATTTTATCATATCTTTATGTATATTATTCAAAACACATCAGAAAATGTCAGAGTTGCACAAGAAATTTTTACTCATGGGAGTTTGGAAAGTCAACAACTAAAAATTGCTACGATTTTTTTATACGAGTGTTTATAAATCGCTATTTATAATACTAGATTGTCAATATCACTAATGGAATGATCATAGTTCTACGATGATTAAGATAAGATTATCGTAGAGCGTATTTATTTGCTAGTTTTTCAATTATAAATATATTAATTAGCCTTTATTTTCTAAAGCTTTGTAATATGTTCGAGACACTCTGCAGCCTCAGACGGAGTCCAATGTGAACTCTGGAACCAAAACGCAAAGCCATCGACGCAAAAAGATTCAATATGAGTAACATTTCAAGGACTGTAAAGTGTTGATACGCATCTGAGTGACGCTTATCAACACTTTACAGTCCTTAAAATGTTACTCACATTGAATTTTTTTGCGTCGACGCCGATAGTTTTGTGTTTTGATTCCGAAACTGAAATTGACTAAAATTGGACAAGCTTATTCTATAGGAACGAGGAAATATATAGTTGTTCTAGCTATAGATATATCTGTGCGGGGTTACCTGCTAGCAGGTGGCAGGTAGCCGATGGTAATGTCCAACATAGCATTCGAGCGTGACGCAGCACGCCTCTATCCTAAACCCGGTCTAGAGCAAACTATCTCTGATATGACTGCGATAGTCATTTTCTCCGGAATCATAATTAACGCACGTTGCCGTGCACGCGAGATTAGACAATCTCTCGGGATCCCCAAAATAGCGTGAACGTCCGTTTTGAACTTTTACCGAGCACGAAGACGTTTTGCCTATTATTCTGAGAGTTTTTCTTTTTCCGATAAGAGAGTCGCGTAGCCACGAACATATCTAGAACGGTTCTACACGTATGAGAAACGTCTATAAATTCGGTCCTAGACTCCGAAACTTGTGATGCCGTACACGGCCAGCATGCCAGCCGAGGAAGTGGCCAGCTAGTGAGCTGCTTCGATCTGTACACTCGGTTGCTTCTCGCTAGGCGCACACAGGCCTAGACATCTATATAATCGAGCTACGTTAGTAATTACCTGGCTAGGGTTGCACCACAGTGCTCTGTAATTATCCGAAAAGTTGCGTGAATGGAGACGATAGGGTTTAGAAGGCCGATAGCGGAGACCGGTTATTCAGTGAACACAAAAGATGCTTTTTTTTAAGACTGTCTATTGTTCTAATTGCGTCGTATTTGTAAATTTAATGGAAATAATAATTTTAAAAGAATCATATTTAGTGTAATATATATATCAAATGAAAGATACAAAATGTAAAGCACAAAGGATTGAATTTCCTTTTATCCTATATAATTTTAAATATATTGTAAAATGTTTTTCGTCTCCATAAAGTAAGATAATTTAAGTAATTATAGAAGGTATATAAGTAAATACTATAATAAAATAAAATACGTTTTTAGATTTGAATTTACATTATAAATAGATAGAATCATAGTAATTTAGGAACGGAAGTTAAAATTGAACCACTTTATTTCAAAATTGCTTTTATTTTTCATATTAGCTTTCCTTTCGATTTATAATTTTATTAGAAATACTTATAAGATTATAATAATACGCTGAAGATATCTAAAAATGAATCTCCCAACTAGTGTAATAATTTTAAAACAGCAATATTCTGTTTCCATTCATTTTGACGCAAGAGAAAAAAATTGTCATTTTTTAAATTTCACGATGCATCTTATTTTCAATTGACAGTCTACTTTTGAACTGTGAAATTTATTCACGAATCTATCGCAAGGTCGCAATGTATCGCCTCTTGTTCGTCATGTCCAGTTAACGCCAACGCGCTTGACATGAATCTCTCACCCTGTAAATTGTCCCCAGCTAGAAAAATCTCTGCAATCGTGTACACATTGCATGTCAAGGACGTCCCATTACGCAACTATGGACAGTTGCAAAAGTTTCTGTATAAAGAAGGCGGCAGATCGCCGCGTTGTTATCGAACGACATCTCACCAACTTTAAATTCGGGGTTTACCGCGACCTGAAAAGAAAAGAAAAAGCTACTCATCTCGAAATCCTCTGTAGAGTGATGGAGTCGGAGTTCGCGATACTCGCAAACTCGCCTAAAGAGATGTCGTATTTGATATTTATGAAAATGACTTTATTACGGCCGTACCTTGAGCGTATAATGTCCTGGCTCGAGCTCGGAAATATCCACCCACTGGCAGTCGATATTGTGCTTGTAAATGTCACTGCAATTAACGGAAATACCTTGGTCTCCGTAATTGGCGCATTTGTATCTAAAACGGTAATGATATTTCAAATTATAAACTTCAATAGACGGATATAATCGCGATCGTAATCGCAAGAAAAACAAGAAGGAATAACAGTAAAATTACACGTGCGTGTCAAACACGAAAAGAGGGGCTTACTATTGTTATCATGTGTTATTAGAATTTTTACCTGGGTTGAACATCGGGCATACATTGATTGTCTTCGAGGCAGAAGGACGCTTTATGACCTTCGGCAACTTTATTGCCGCTCGAATCGATTACGTCGAAAGTGGCGAATACTTCCATCGAATGATAATGCCTGCAAAATGAAAATGGTCAGAATTAATGTTTCTTTCCTGCGCCAAAATTTATTTTTATCACTGCAAAAATAATTCCCAAATTTAACGCTAGTATTTTAAATAATCGATAAATTTAATTGAAATCATTTATTGCGAAACGTCCGAGATTCTTCACTTAATGTTTTAGAATGTCACTAGAATCACAGCAAACACTAATTAAAATGTTCTATTTTTTTATCACAATTTTATTAAATTTTTCAGAAATTTAATTTTTATTCCTTATAGCCTGGTCGAAGATGGTTCAATATTATTTATATTGGACTATTTTTATCTGATGATAACTAAAAAAAATTGAAACGTTATAATACGCAGAATGTATCACTGAACGCTAAATGTTATTTATATTAAATTTAATTTTACGCTCCGAGACTCATAATGATCATTTTTTCTATTAATAATTTTTATTATCAATTTTAATTAGGACTGTATTTATTTTTCTGTTTAAAGTTTTGCTTTTTATTAGAGATTTTTTATTAGAGATGTTAATAATCAATTATCATACTCCAAATAATTTTCTTTATATAACTCATTGATTTCAGATATTCTGCAGTTATTATTTAATAGATAAGTACTCGTACTAAGAATGCTGAAAATATCCTGTTACAGGGTTAATATATCGATATATTAACCCTGTAATGGTAAAGTTTCTTCAAAATGTATCTGATAGGATAGAGTTAGATCCAATTTAATGCTTCGTTTTGTTTATTTTTCATGTAGTCAATGTACAATATGAATAAAAAAATAAATAATAATATGAAGCTTCTTCCTCTGTTTATTTACAGAAAAAAATACATAGATACGTACAAACGTAAGGACTATATTTGATTAAAGTAGATATTGAGGCTAATATGTAATATTTTTTAGTAGACCTTACTATTTTTAGTTCAAGCAACAAAATTTTTAAGTAAAAAATATAATAAAGTTTATTAACTGACTTTAAATAATTGCAGTAAAATAAAAAATATTTTGGTATTCATATATTTCAAATTTTATATTTACGCCCGTTTTAAGTCTTAAGATGGTATAAACCAATCAGAGGGCTGTATTAGCATCTTAAGACATTGTTAAAATAAGAACCGACTATGAATACTGGCCTTTGACTGGCAAAGCTATGGAATCTATATATATTGGACCCCGTTAATAAAAATTAAAGCGGAAAAAAATTTATTATCAGTGCCGTTATTATCGATTCACTTACATATGACACATGTGCCATTCCCATAAATGTTTAGGCACAGATGGACGGAAATCCGCGGTACCCGCATTTAAGATTCTTGCGGTGAAGCGTAACAATCGTCTTGTCTCCAGGTGCCAATTTTCAGACTCGCCTTGCATCTTGTAGGCTTGCGAGGCCACGCAATTTTCCTCCATTGCGCATTGCAACCAGTACAGCTGACGGTCTTCCAAATGCGCCGTCCGCATCAGTTCGATGTGATCGAACACAAGATCAGCCATCTGTCGATGACACACCACCCCTGCTATGTTCTCCGTTGATCCTAAAATTGAGATGATGAGATTATTTCGTGTCGACCCATTCTACAATTGTATAAGCGTAAGTGGTTATAAGAATTGACCAATCAGTCGAATATTCTCCTCAAATTCGATTGTGATTGGTCAATTCTTACAACTACAGCCACTTACAATTATACACTTACCCAATTGTAAAATAATAATTTTTTACGCGATACCGAATGTATGATGAATACTAAAATTTCACGCTCGCTTTTTGAGATAAACACCTCCTTGTAATATTTTTTATTTCAGATGTGTATATTAACATTTACTATGAATACCCGATATATTTGATAAATACTGCATAGGAGATGAGAGGAAATAGAAAGATAATATTTTTACTATCAGATTTACATAGAAAATCAGCTGTGATATAACTTGGAAATAAGGAGTTTGTAAAAATAAAATAAAATATTTTTTGTTCACAAACTTACTTTTTTTTTTAACTTCTGACATAACTGATTTCTTATGCAAATCTGATAAAGAAAATAACCTCTGCAAACTTTTCTCATTTCTTTGGAATATTTCTCCTTCACAGAATATTTTAATTAATCTTTAGAATGCACAATTAAATACTTGGGCGATTAAGAAATAATTGGTATTTAATTGTTTGTCTATAATTTCGATCATTTTTAGCATAAGCAAAAGGACTATTTTATAGGAGAATTTGGGCCCTGGATGAATAACTTTGAGACATGCCTAAACTTTTAAGGTATCAAAAGAAACAAAAATTTCATAAACTCAATTTTATAGGAAAGGTTTCCTGAGTGCTAGAACTATCCAAAGTTCGCTATTATGATCATGTACCACTAGTCTTATCCAATTTCTCTGCACCCAGGCAGGGCACCTCCCCGCGGTGACGGTGGTAACGGATTGTACTAAAGACATTGAAGTAATATCTAAAATGTATTTGGTACAGTTCATTAATCCGGTTAAGTCTCTGGTCGCGATTCATGTCGACATATCACAAAAATTCGGATTTGCTTGTAATGACGGCAATGTTCCTGGAGTTCGCCCTGGAGGGAGGGAAGATGGACAAGCGAATGTACTAATCGGGGTAAACCAGCCTACGGGGTCACCCCAAAGCAGCTACTGAGATGAGATTATTCATTGCGGGCAATGTGGAAAATATTTTAAAAAACCAGTAAACATTTGTTGGCTGGGGAAGTGCTAGATTTCTTGGAACAAGAGCCTAGTAGACTCCACAAGAGCTTCAACACATTTAAATATATATGCTACGCCTGTTGGTGCCATTATAAAAGAAAACATACTGAAACGAGAGATGGAAACGTTACTGTTAAAAATACTGAACCGCAGTCTCTTTGTCAAATCAATTAAAACTTTTTGTTTCATACTTTGAGTGTCTCTCTCCCCTCTTCATCGATTAATATATTATATATCACTTATAACTATTTATTTGGGATCCAAAAAAGGTTTTAATTATCTTCGTCAAGATAGGACATACTCCAGATACTAGATGTTTCGAGAAATCGAATAAAACCAGTCTTACATGGTACACAATACATGGTCATAATAACGAACTTTAAACAGCACTCATTTTAGGGACTCATTTTACAAAGTTGTGCATATGAAACTTTTTAATCCTTTTTCTTATGCTCTACAATCCTAGCTAGGTCTCAATACTGTTCAACCGGGACCCAAACTGGGCATAGTTTTTTCACTTTGAAATTTTTCTAAAATAAAAGAGGGCTAAATCTGATTTCTTCTCCTAACATATTATATTTTGTCTCGGTAGTCTAAAGGCTCAGGACTCTCGCACGGAATGCAAGAGATCCGGGTTCGACTCCCGGCCGAGGCAATATTTTTTCGCAATAAATTATTACAGTTTTTTAAGATTGGTAGAATTTGGGGGGTTTATTTGTTTCAGATTGATTGTGTGAATCCGATAATTTCATCGGCTCTCAATTTATGTCTGAAATATTAATTCAATTTTATTGAATGTATATTAAGACAGTAGTTCAACATCTTAATACTGTGACCGCGAAGGCGCTGTGTTTCAAATATTATATTTTGTTAAACAAAACTATTTAGTAATATAATAGAGATGTCGAAAAATAACTCTGAATTTTTCCACATTTTGTAGAAGCTTAGAAAAGTAAAAAACTTGGACTGGACAGAGAGAGAGAGAGAGAGAGAGAGAGAGAGAGAGAGAGAGAGAGAGAGAGAGAGAGAGA